TTACATCGGATCCCTACTTACAAACAGGGTGAGGCAACCCCGTACTAGCTGCTTCCCCCCAGCAGACCAGGGAGACGTGAAGCTAGTGCCCCCCCCCCACCAGACCAGGGAGACGCGGAGCAGCTTTTGTTGCCCCGGAGGACACGGGCATAAGTTGATAACAGGTGTGTTGTAAGCAAAACTCGTGAAGTCATTCTGCCGCTCTACTCTGCGCTAGTTAGGCCTCAGCTGGAGTACTGTGTCCAGTTCTGGGCGCCACATTTCAAGAAAGATGTGGAGAAATTGGAAAGGGTACAGAGAAGAGCGACAAGAATGATTAAAGGTCTAGAGAAGCCTATGAAGCCAGGCTTCATGAACTGGGCTTGTTTAGTTTGGAAAAAAGAAGATTAAGGGGGGACATGATAGTGGTTTTCAAATATCTAAAAGGGTGTCACAAGGAGGAAGGCGAAAATTTGTTCCTCTTGGTTTCTGAGGACAGGACATGGAGTAATGGGCTTAAAGTGCAGCAGGGGAGGTTTAGATTGGACATTAGGAAAACATTCCTAACTGTCAGGGTGGTCAAATATTGGAATAAATTGCCAAGGGAGGTGGTGGAATCTCCCTCTCTGGAGATATTTAAGAACAGGTTAGATAGACATCTGTCAGGGATGGTGTAGACGGAGCTTGATCCTGCCTTGAGGGCGGGGGGCTGGACTCGATGACCTCTCGAGGTCCCTTCCAGTCCTATTAATCTATGATTCTATGATTCTATGACCCAGTACGGCCGTTCTTATGTTCTTATGCCTGCTCTCAGGCAGGCCGCTACCCAGGCGTTGGGTTCATGCACTAGCTGGAGGAGCCGCGCTCTCTGTCCCAGAGGGGCTGGGGCCCTTTGCCTGTCTGTTTTCCATTGTTGCTCTGACTCCAGGCCTCCAATCCAAGCCAAAGAATCCACAGCAGCGCCTCAGGCATCCGCTGGAAACTCTGTCACTGACATCACAGGCTCTGCGGGGCTGGATCGGGAAGGGAGCACTCTGCTTACCCAGGGATTCACCTCTATTCAGCTTCTTATTCTGCGCCCACCCTGGCGACCACTGAGCTTTGCCCTTTAGGGTTACTTTAAGAGTCAGGAGAGGTGCAGACCAGGGCCCCATTGGGCTGGGCGCTGCCCAGATGCACAGCAAGAGGCAGTCCCTGGCCCAGAGAAAAGCGGGGAGGAAGAGTGATCACAAATGGGGAACTGAGGCACAGAGCTATGAAGGGCTCCTCTGCACGAACAATTAATTTGTGACAGGGTGGAATGTGCAGCTGCTTCGCGCTAACCCTCTTTGAAAGGGGATGAGATCAAAGCGCACCGATGAAGGGCAAGTGCACGTCAGCAGGGTCCCCTGCGACGGTTCGTCCGGGGCAGGCCGGGGGAGGGTGGATTCACACCCCAACCTGCTGTGAATTGTTCTTGTAGACAAGTGACTGACCCAAGGCCACACAGGGTGTCTGTGGCAGAGTCAAGAATTGACCCCCAGCTCTCTGGAGGCCCAGCACAGCCTCTTCATCACAAGATCACCTGAACTGGCTCAGTAGCAGCTGTTTTATCCCCCTCTTCTGTCTGTCTGGGAATTTAACCGTCGCTCAGCACTCGTTCGTCCCAACCCCCAGTCCATCATACACCTTCCCCCTTGAATTTATTTTGGGGGTTAGTCCAAATCTGGATTGGGGCCAGAATTAGCAGTTATTTATTAGGTGTAGCCTCCAGGAGCTGCTGCCATGGTTCAGTACCTCAGGTGCTGGGCACACAGAACAGAAAGACAGACTCTGCCCTTGCCTCCATATCGGGGCAAATCACACACGCCCTTGGCCCCCGTCCGGATCTGAGTAACTGTACCGGGGGCTGTGCTATTCTCAGCCTGGATCCGGTTCTGAATTCTGGATCTAAAGATCCTTCGCTCATCAAGACCATCGCTGTAGTCCAGGTGACGTGTCTCTCCGGGATGGTGAGGGGGGACCTATAAGCGGGTGGGCATTGCACTGACACTGCAGAACAGCTGAGGATCTCAAAGCACTTTTCAGGCAGAGGGCCAGCAGCAAGATCCCCCTTCCGCTGGAATTGGGCCAAATTCTGAACAGCAAGATCCCCCTTCCGCTGGAATTGGGCCAAACTCTGAACCAAACCCCATTGCTACATCTAGACTGGCATGATTTTCCGCAAATGCTTTTAATGGAAAAGTTTTTCCATTAAAAGCATTTCTGGAAAAGAGCATCTAGATTGGCACGGACACTTTTCCGCAAAAGCACTTTTTGCGGAAAAGCGTTCGCGCCAACCTAGTTGCACAAGAAAGGCCCGATCGCCATTTTCGCCATCTGGGCTTTTTTGCGCAAAACAATACCGCGATGTCTACACTGGCCCTCTTGCGCAAAACAATACCGCGTTGTCTACGCTGGCCCTCTTGCGCAAAACAATACCGCGTTGTCTACCCTGGCCCTTTTGCGCAAAACAATACCGCGTTGTCTACGCTGGCCCTCTTGCGCAAAAGCATTCACTTACATGAGATCGCCAGCGTTCTTGCAGAAATTCAAGTGGCCAGTGAAGGCAGCCGGCAAGTCTTGCCAGTCTAGACACAGCCCATAGGTTATCGAGAAGCTCCGAGCAGGCAGCTCTGGGAGGCAGCCCAGGACTGTCCTTTGTTCTGTGCTTGTACAGCACCTTGCATAGGGGGATTCTGGACTGTGGCTCAGGCTCCTAGGTGAGAGGGTAACTAATACTCTAGATCAGTCTTTCCCAAATGGTGTTCCGCGGAACCCTGAAAACAAGGGTCCCGCAAGAAAATTCCATTACAATAACATTGTGTGATTTAAAAATAATAATAATGAATGTTTAAGCATTTATGAATTTTATTGCAAACCATTTCCATGTGTGTTTGCCATGATTCGTGTCCCTGCGTAATGCCAGCTTAGCCAGAGAATGGGGACAATGTCACTGCTCAGCGCTGCGCGCACAGTCGGTCAGTGGTGCGATCGCCTGTTCTACCACTGTAAACCCCCCTCCTCGCTCTCAGGCAGCGTGGATCCCGTGGGTGACTGGATACCAATCGACTAGCACTGCATCGGACAAAGTCGACATTTCAGCTGTTGTGACGGCGCGTTGGGGGTCCCCCATCTCCTGCACCCCGAAATGGCACAAACAGACTCCACCAGCCAGTGGAATTGAGGGTGGTTTATTGCTCCTCCAGGATACAGCACAGCACAGATGTAATCTGGTTACAGGAACTGGGGCTAAGAGGCCTCAGTGCCCCCTTGAGATGGGGGGATCCCCGCCCCCTCCCCAGTTCCTTCTTCCCTGCTTTCCAGCCAGGAACTAACTCTCCTCTTCCAGCCCTGCCCCCAGCCAGGGCAGCATCCACCTCCCTTTGTTCCTCTCCATGGGGGGTGACTGGTCAGACAGGTTGAGACCTTCTTTGCATAATGACTCATGGCCTGTCCTTCTGGGCCACGGTACCAACTGCAGCCAGTGGGGGTTATCCCAGAGCCAGCAGCGTAGAAACCAGCCAGGTACCCCCACTACGTCACAGCTGTCACACCAGTTGCTTGTATGGGAGTGTGCAGGCCGTATAGTTGCGTGATGTCTTGTATTTAGAAATGTAACCGTGACCAATCTAAATGGACGATGATCCATTAATCTACATCTCATGACCTTGTTTAGCATTTATTGATTATTATCCTTACTTACTTGTGGTCTGCTTTTTCAGCTGCATCGATAAGACAGTTATTAGGGGTTCCGCAAAATTCTTTCGAGTTTAAAAGGGTTCCGGGGCCAAATAAAATCGGGGAACACTGCCCCAGAGCACTGATGTTTCCTCACTGATTCAGTACCAGCGTGGCCTTGAGCTAGAAAGGCTCTTTAGACTTTGCATCTGACGAAGTGGGTCTTTGATGCATCTGATGCAACCTATGATGCATCTG